TAATTGCATTACAGAAAATAAAGAACTTTATCACCATATTCTAATTTTCTGAGACAGTCCTGTATACAGGCTATACATATTATATCATATATTATTCTTATATAATATTGTTAGATAATAGCATCCAGTTAGATTCCAATAAGTTGGAAAACAGCTGGAGTTCAATCAATTCCAGCTCACAAAATTCAGCTTTAGTTGTTCAATTCATTCAGAGAAAAATAAGGTTTCCTCTAAACAAACGATGGATCGTTAAGAATCTTCATTAACAATCTTCTCTTTAATCCAATTTCAATCCAGAGCCAGAACCAGGAAAGGCGGCGGCCATTTTGGATAGATAGATAGATAGATAGATAGATAGATAGATAGATAGATAGATAGATAGATAGATAGATAGACTATATACTAACTAAGCTAAGTTAGTTTAAAGTTAACATAATGTAAGTTAGATTTGAAAAAATCTGAAAAATAGACAAAATTATATCAAAATTCAATAGAAATTAATAAGATAAGTCAGTTTTAAGTTAAAGCAATGTAAGTTAGATTTTTTAAAAATCCGAAAAATAGAAAATAAAACTAAATGTAAAAATACAAAAATACAAAAATAAGCTAATAAAGTTTAAAGTTAACAATGAAAGTCAGAGTAAGTTAGGGTACGTCCTGTATCTCAGTCTCTATCTGCCAATAAAACCCTTTTTATTGATTATTTCTTTATCATTTCTTTCTTTTTCCATCTCTCTTATACAACGCATTTGTTTTCTTGCTTTGTGTAATTATCTGCAGTATTTATTAAGGCGTTATCGTAGGTTTTTGGAACGAATTATAGGAATAGATAAATTCATATGTAGAGGTTCTGCTGTACTGTAAATGGTACTGTTCTACTTCCCCGTCAGCACTATACTCCCCCCCCCGTGTGCGGATACTCACATCATCGGACACCGAGATGGACACAAACTGATTGGCCATCGTCTGAATGCGAGGAAGAGCAGCCAGGTCGTCCTTCGAGAGCTGCACTCAGAAAAGAGACAGAAAAGCCTCAAAAGTTCTGATTTTAGAAGGAAAACCTTTAACAAAGGTCCCAAGATCCCAAGAGCATGTCTTTATTTTTTTTAAATATATTTGATATTTTTCTATCATTTCAATTTGTTACTTTTTTTACTATTTCTTTATTTCTTTATTTCTTTATTAATTATTTCACTTACCTGATATTTATTTTAATTTGCGTTGGTTTTCCCTCTAAAGATTTTAGAG